CAGAGCAGTGATTCTAATGAGTCACCCTGCTGTCTGCATAATAAATGCTGCAATCTGGTTTCCTGAGTAGACTGTCAGCTTCCACGTCCTATTAATCGTGGGCTTTCTGAACAGTTCTGTCCAGGCATTTTGGGAAATGTAAAATCCACATGACAGCTCAGGTCAAGCAGGAAAGGTGGCGCTTTCCTTTTTTCAGAGCCAGAGGAAGTGACTGATTAGACGTGAGGGTTGAACAGCTCCTGGGGTAGGTTTCATCTGGACCTCCATAAGGAAGAGGGGGTGGGATCTCCATAATGAAGAAGGGATGGGACCTTCATACAGAAGAGGAGGTGGGTGTTTTCTAGCATCTACTTCACTGTGATAAAAATAAAAATTGTTCTCAGAGTAAGATTAGAATAGTTTTCTTAGTGGTTTTCAGTAGTATGGACCCAGTCTACACGCCTGTGACTGAGGTGCCGTATAACAAAATGTCACTGGAGTATCAGCGTGATGGCCTGCTGTGGGCCATGCTCTCTGGAATAGTCCTGTGCCGTTCAGCTTGGCAGCCTCTGCCATGGTGCTGGGCCCTACTGAGAGTCTGTCCTACATGCGCTCTCAAATGGAACCCATTCTGGACAAGTTATGTTTGTCTCAAGCTCCGTTAATGTTTGAGTCATGATTATGAACATGATGTCAATATATTATCACAGCATATTTAGCAGCACCAAGAAGATTGTTGGTCAGTGAGATGGAAAAGAGCTAGGAGAGCAAAAGGAAGGGGTGGTTCTAGCTACTTCTGTAGGGAGAACAGCTTCAATCAGTATGTTCTTCATGTTCCAGTAACAAGGCATTATTGCAAACATATAAAAACAGGATTGCTTTAAATGATATGTCCCTAAAAGAAAGATTCTGTTAGGCATGGGTGGGTTGTAAATATGGAGAAGAGAGTTTTCTTTCCAAATCTCTGAATCTAGTGGTCACTATTTTGTGTGTTGCTAACGGTTTGGGGAACTGGAGAGTCTCAGTGACAGACTGACCATCTCTACTCTGACAATTTAAAATACTTCGAAATGCACAGTGTTTTGAGCATGGACATGTTGCCAGAAGTGGAAAATTCTACACTGGCCCCTGAGAAGCCGTCATGCCATAGACAAACAGAAAATATGTCGTAAAATTACCTCCATCTGTGTGTAGAAGGTACATATGAAACAAAAGTGAATGTGATATTTAGACTTGAGTTTCTTACCTCAAATATGTCAATATAGTCTTACAAATATTTCCAAATCTAGAAGCAGCAGACTTCCAGGAAACCCCTGACCCCAGGCTTCTAGACTAAGCATTGCTCAGTCTCTGCCAACTTCAGCAGCCTGTGGATATGTGGAGAGAGTCCTGAGCTATAACCTTCTTTTAGTGAAAGAGATTATAGGAAAAAAAAAGTTTGTTCAAAGTTGCACCTTTAGAGTTGAAGAGATAGCTCAGAGGTTAATGGCATATACTGCTGTTTCAGAAGGGCCTGAGTTCAGCTCCTGAGTTCAGCAGAACACATGCTGAGTAGCTCACAACTGCCTGTAACCCCCATTCCTAGCTCTATAAGTATGATACCTATGTAAATGAGCAAATACACACACACACACACACACACAAACATATATAAAAACACACACAAATATACAAACTTACATAAACACACAAATACACACACACACACAATTAAACAATTCTTAAGAAGTGTTCTTTTGTGTAGCAGGATACTAATTCTGCTACATTGTATTCGTGGTGGAGCTTGGTGATTAGGCAGTAGAAGAGGAGATAGAGCTGGGAGAAGAGAGGAAGGGAAAGGGAGAAAAGGAGAGAGGGGAGGAGAGAAAAAGAGGAAGGAGAGGGGAAGACTGGAAAGGAGGGTGGAGAAAAAACTGGAGGAGAGAGAGGTGGAAGGACAATGGAGGAGAAGGACGTGGCCTGGAAAAACCGCAAGTTATAAGGGGAATAAAATAGAGTAGTGGTAAATCTGCCCAATCTAGGCGTGTAGTTTGTATTCATAGTTATTGAGTTGTGTTTTCTTTAATCAGCCCTATTTTTGTTGGAGATTTATCTCAACACTTTTGCATAATCTTGATGGAATCCTTCAATATCCATAGAGGCAATACATGTGAACTCTTAACTTTCAGTTTTGATTTGATGCAATGCTTTTCATAATTTATATAAATCCAGGTGTCTAATACTTCACATGGGATCTAACTAAAATGCTAGCTCCACAAAGATATAAGGGGATGCTATATCTTGTTTGTCACTCAGCCACATGCTTTTTGTCCTGACATGGTGTGGGTTGCTATTGTATCATTTGTGCTCTTTCTCTCTCTCCAACTATTTCACTGTTAGTAATTTCTGAAGTGTTTAAGAAGAACTCATCATTTAGGAAGAAAACATATCTATCTGATTTTTAAAAGCAATCAATTATACTTGCATCTGCACTATGGCTTTATTTGTAATATATTTCCTAAGATTCCTACTGAATGAGTAATTGAACTTGATGAAAAGACAGACCTATCTGAACATCTTCCCACAAGCCACAGATGAAATTATTAAAAATGGAAAAATTATGGATAAAATCTTTTCTCTTTCTTTTCTTTATTCTGTACTTCGCCTCTTTTTCCTTTACATAACTCTTTATAAGTTAACTTCCTCAAATGCAGCTTTCACATTGCTTTGAATTAGGACATGCTTCTTGCAGCAGGTTTTGGCCTTAACACCAAGGGCAGAGGCCAGTGGCTTCAGGCACATCATTGAGCCTGCTCAGCATTCCAGACTCTGCACTTGGCTGAAGAAAATTCAACGGACCCTGAGCCTGTGGCCTAGCATTGCTTTTCTTAGATAAAACACTTGGCATTTCAATGCCTTGGCTCACATTGCCTGTAAACCAAAGGAAGTGAACATGATGCTCCTTCAGATTTCTGAAACAGTAATACATCTTGCAAATGAATGGAAGTCTGAACTTTCAGTGTGCCATGCATCCTACAGTTTTACAAATAACACAGAATGGCTTTCCCACATATTGAGAATAGCTTTGCAAAGTCTAATAGGAGGCAAAGACTTTAAACAGGCTGCAAGTTCTTCCTCCACTCTGATGCCTTCTGTATTTTCATAGTTATAGTAAATGAACTAACACAGTTTCACACATTGTTTTAGGTTGAGTGTCTGAGCACATGTGCATGTGTGTGTGTGCGTGTGTGTGTGTGTGTGTGTGGTGTATTTGTGTGTGAACAGCCTTCACAGGAACCAGGTGTGATGTTGTGAAAGTCCCAATCTTAGTATCAACCCAGAGCTACAGTTCCTGTCAGCTGCAAGCCATACAGAAGAGTGTTACTATGAAAACCTGTGTGTAACCAACAAACACAGTAAGTGATATTTGAAAAATATATCCAAGCTATAAATACATTCTCTCACATGCACAAATTATCCTTTTCTGGAATCTGGACTGGGTTGCCTCTGGCATGCTCACTCACGGCAACATTTATCATCCAACTTTTGGAGTCTATGAATGTTAGGCCTTTGTTAGTCACAAACATCACAGAAGAAAATAGGACAGAATACTCATCCTTTAAGAGAATGGGTGAAATGTACTTATGTGCAAATTGAAGCACTGGTATCCCCCTCCCCTATTGGAAACCAACTGTTGACATCTTGGGTCAGAGAAATTTGTCTCCTCACCCTGAGGAATTCCTTGAGCTGTCTTCTCACATTGAGGCAATCATTTCTCTCAGCACAGAAAGGATTGTGCTTGGCTCAATGACATGGTTCCTATGTCAATGGTTTCTATTATGTCTGGATGAAGATATGGAATAATTTGTTTTGAAATAGCATGTAAAACACAGAAATCAAACATCAAAAGTTTAACAGACGCACATGAAAGCATAAATAATACTATAATTTTAAAGACCTCCTTCAATATAAACCTGGTCATTTTTTAAGATGAAATCATAGTTATCATTAGATTTCTGAATGAAGAGAATGCATGTTGAAAAATATTTTCTTGTATTCCATGTTCATTTAAAAGACAAACCAAGAGCCAACTGTGGAGGTGAGGTCTGCTGCTGGCAGCTTCCTGTGCACTAATTCTTCTGGGGATTTAAGGAGATGTCTCAGTGGGTAAAGCACCTGATGTGCTAGTGTGAAGACCCAAGTTGAAATCCCTAGATGTCACATAAATTGGGACACTGCAGCACATCTGTAATCCCAGATTCCCTACCCCAATATGAGAGGTGGAGACAGGTGTCTCACAGAATACCAGTTTTGTGAGAAATTGTGACCTTCTCCAAGGAAGCTTTGTTACATTGGTAGATGTTTGCAGTCTTCTCAGAACCTCTGCCTTTCTCACCCAGCGCAGAAAAGAGACACAGGGTGAAACTGTGTTTAAATTGCATACATCTTTTCTTCTGAAAGCTTTTCTTAGATAGGGAAACTAACTCTGGCTAAGGCCTCTCAAACAGAGCAGTTAATACTTGTGATCCATGGACCATGAAGTCTGTCTCTTTTTGTTACTATAAATGGGACTCAAGATGGACAAGTGTGTAGTTTTTGTGTCCTCAAATTAGAGAGCTGATGCTACATGGAGAAATCCCAAGTGTTTCTTAAACTAATGTATGAATGTTTTCATTTCCCAGACATTAGCTGCTACCATGCAAACATTTTAGGCAAAAAACATGGTGTCATCTGGCACCATGGTTGGAAGAAAGCTGGCTCCTAGACTGGGGAGACCTTCGTTAGAGGTTGCAGTGACAAGTCTCTCAGGGCCCTTATCAATCTGAATTCCATTGTGACCATTTAATAACACTTACTGTCAACAAATTAGATGCTATTTGCTTGGTCTTAAGTGTTCCTATGAATATTTTATACCCTTCTTTCAAGAAACATTGCTTTTGGAATACATTTTTATTCCTTTAGGGAAGGACAGTTCCATGAACTCCTGGTCTGCATTTCTGATTGAGGCCTTATGTATTGCTTTCTTTTCTTTTTGTTTATAGGTAGAAATAACACTTCAAGATATCAATGACAATCCACCAGTATTTCCAACGGACACTCTGGATCTCACTGTGGAAGAGAACATTGGAGATGGCTCGAAGATTATGCAGCTGACTGCCATGGATGCTGATGAGGTAGTTTATGTCTTTAGAATCTGTAATCACCATGACTCAGAGAATTTCAGGTGCATGGGAGCTCTAGTGATCAGTGACCAAGGTTACAAATTCTGTGTTCTGTCCCTGAGAGCATCTATTAGTATGTTTGAACTCTGATATAAGAATGAGATATACTTAGTTTGTAAAGTGGATGTCTCACAAACATGGAGATCCAAGTTTAAGTGTCTTCGCCCTCAAAAAAAGCAGTGTGAAGCAGTACTAGTTTGTAATCCCACTCCTGGAGAAGATGAGATAGGTGGATCTCTAGGGCTGGCTGACCATCTAGTCTATTTGGTGAGCCCCAGGTCCCAGTGAGAAACCTTATCTCAAAAAACAAACAAACAAACAAACAAACAAAAGCAAGATGTCGCTGCAGAGACAGTTCATTAGACAAAAGCACTGGTTGCTCTTGTAGAGGACCTGGATTCAGCCCCTAGCATCCACCTTGGGGTGTTCACAACGGCCTGCAACCCCAGCTCCAGTGGATCCAACATATTCTTTGACCTGAATGAACATCGCACTCGTTAATTAAAAATTAATACATTTTTTAAGTCGAGTTGGGTAACCCCTGAGAAACATCTAAGTTGACCCCTGACTTCCACAGTCACACACACAATTTGTACCTATAGGAGCCCATACGTATCCCCAACACAAGTAAAATAAAAGAATGGGACCCTGTTCAAAAATACAAAATTTAAAAGATAAGGGAATAATAAACAAACAAACAAACAAACAAACAAATAACAGACTAGTTCTAACAGCCAACTTAGAAATATAATAGCCTAGCCAGTTAATTTTGCAAAAATTAGTACAAGTGAATTGAACAGATATGGTCAGTCAGAGGCTGGTTTCTGATTAGCAGTTCAGGTGTCTGTCTTTTCCATTTTAGATCTCATGGACAAATAATTTTTAAAAAGTAAAGGCATCTAAAATGTATCTCTATTCTACATTTTCCTCATTTGTTTTTGCTTTCATAGCAGCCAAGTTATCTATTTTTTATTTTATTTGTGATTGGAAACAAACAAATAATTTAAAACTAACACTATTTAAGGTGACCTTAAACATCTTTGTTTTTAATAATTATATACTTTCATATTTATTTATGTGTCTACAAATTTAACATTTTGTAATATTTATTTCAGGTTGTCATGCAGGAAACTAGTGAGGTTTTCAATTTATTGTAATGAACAAATTTCATACCTATTGGCAAATGTGAAATTTGGACTCAATATAGATTATCATCCTCTATTTTTTATTGTAAATGAAGACTTACAATAGCCATTTTACAAATCGCATGGAAAGTTATATAATTAATTTACATCTTCCCACATAAAATCTCTTTGCTTTTTTTCTCCTCAGTGAAAGGTCTAATTAATGCTCTGCCATTGAGGGGAAACCCTTCTCAAACACCAGGACACCCTCCCATCTTCCTTTAGCCAAACCCCACATGTCCCGCGCAACCTCCCGCCAGCAGGAAAGACGCGGCACACTCAGGATCCTTCTGCAGTATAAGCTTTAATGCATCTTGAGAGGGAGAGCATAAGCTTCACAAACGAGGAGGGACCCCAAGGGCCTAAAACCCTTCCCTTATATAGAGAGTTAAGCTCGCCTGGGACTTGGCAGTCTCTGATGGGCTCCTGTTGCCTCAGGCCACATGACGTGTTCCAACTGTCAGATTAATCAAGGCGGGAAAACCTTCCAGCGCATGCGCACAGACTTGTTAATGGCAATGATGTGATAAGGATAGCTTCCCACACCCACACAAAACTGACTTTCTTCCCTCAGCTCCAGGAATGTCTGAATATCTGATTTTTTAAATTATGATTAAATGGTTCATAGATTCACTTATTTAACACTAAACTAGTTGGTAGAGCAAAACTGCAGGGGGGAATGCACACCTTTAATCTAGGGGCAGAGGCAGGTGGATCTCTGTGAGTTGCAAGTCAGTCAGCTCTACCCAGTGAATGCCAAGCATCAGGACTAGATAGTGAGACCCTATTTCAAAAGTACAAAATTAAAAGGTAAAGGAATAGTAAATAAACAAATAAACAAATAAACAAACAGACCAGTCCTAACAGCCAATTTAGAAACTTAATAGCCTAGTCAGTTAATTTTTGCAAAAATTAGTAAAGGGAATTGAATAGAACGTAAATTTTTAGATAATTATAGTTTTCTTCTAGAAAACATTTGGTGTTTTTCGTTAGTACCTGCTAGCTCTTTTCGTATAGAGAAATGTTAATCCTGATTCCCAGGTCAGTGATTACTATCAGCTGTGAGACTGAACACCCGTCCCGGGCATCTCAGGGACCATCTAATGAAGTTTAGCAAGCATCTCACTTTATTAAAGCTGATACAACATATTTAGGCTGTATTCGTTTATAAAATCTTATGAACTCCAATTTCAATATAACAGCAACATGAATATCATGCAATTGATGTAGTACAATCATCACTGAATGGCCATAATTGCATTTTAGAAAGAGCGAAATAAAACTCGTGTTTGAAATGTTTTGTTCTAATCACTTTAGAAGAAAAGAGCAATAGCTACATTCATTTTAATAAATATTTTATTGATATGGATGTTGACTCTGTGGGATATTATGACTAATATGGGATTTCTCAGCCCAAATTATAGTGGATTGCAAATAAATTGTATATGGAAATTTGATTGTTTTAATCAGCATACAACTCTCCTAAGAACTGTCCTCCTGGGACTGTTAGATCCATTGTTAATTGTTACCTAAAGATGATTCCCTTTCAAGAGCACATACTGCTGATATGCGGGCTGTGCTGTGCGCATGGTCTGCTTCTCTTTGTGGCTTTACAGAGCCTGAGAATGCACCAAGTAAGAGGCTCATGCCCAACCGCCTTTCTGCTAGTCTCCGAGATACTCTTGTAAGTCACAATGACATTTGAGGAAGAGTTGGAGGTTCCTTATCTTTCTAGGTATTTACACCCAAATTAGCTTTCATGTGCCTTGTTTTTGTTTTATTTTTGTTGAGAGTTGGTTTCTAGATTTAATACTTAAGTAAGGCATGTAGGCATGATCATGTAGATATCCCACTTCATAAAGACTTATGATATGTGCAAGCAACCTGTTTAAAGTCAGGCAGGGTGGAGGTGAAAGGGATAAAGCAGAATAGAAAGGGGGGACTCTTGTCAGCAGGTCAAGACAAGAGAAGGAAAAGCTCAGGGAGAAGGCTGGGGTGCCTGCAGACTCAAGGACCCTGTCCTCTCCCTCCCTCCCTCCCTCCCTCCCTCCCTC